AAATTATTATTAATTTGATTTTAATTATCTGTTTTAATAATAAAAAAAAATTATTGCTTACAATTTGAAACCTAATCAATCACTTCGTGACCATTATCATAAAGTGTTACTGATTTATCTCCTTTTATACATTCAATAAATTGTCTGAAACTTGTCGGGCTTTTATTGAAATTTTTGCAGTAAATTTCTGAGTGTAGTTTTTTAAATTAAATCTCAAATCACATGGATTTTTAATAGAATATGCATTAATTTAATTATATGGCGACGTTCAATTAAATCCCTTAAGTTTTCAACTAAAAAAGGAGGGTTTTTATTAATGCTCTACAACAAAAACAACTTAATTGAACCATCATATATTACTGTTGTTAGACAATGACTGGTACTGCTAATTTTTGCTTACAAGTATTGTATGCCACTGATGGAAAATCTTTGGGACCCGTTATCAACGTGTAGCCTTGAAGTACACTTTGACCTTTCATTGAAAAATCCCAATGATCTGTCCAGTCAAAAAAAAAGATAAAGAAACTCTTTGCTGGTTGCTGACGTCATTAATGAAATATAACGGTGTATCAAACCATATTAGAGAGAAGATGATGAACATTATGTAACGGATTTATATGATACTTATTAAAAATGGCTTTAGGCACGTTATTGATGTTAGGAATGATAGCAATAAGATCTATGCAATTTATTTGTATTTCTAAAGCAGGTTCTACTCTAACTTCACAATTATGAGTCAAGAAGTACTAATTTTTCCAGTTATTACAGATACAAACCAGCAGAGGATTCTTGCTTTTACTTAATTTTTCTATATGTTAGCTAATAAAGGACTACTCCGATTCTTAGTTCTTTGCTAAATTAAAAAATCGTAAATAAAACAAAAAAAAAAGCAAAAGCATAAAAAAAAGTATTAGTCGGACTCGAGCGCCGAGGACTCCGTGTCCTTTAAATAGTTTTCCGTCATGGAAGTCGAGTCTTGAAAAGTTTTCCCGCTTTTTCCGAGTTCGTTTTATGTTTCCCCAGAATCAGTTCTCAAAACGTATAATTACAATATTACAATCAAAAAATTATTTTTTTTTTTCGAACTTTTCTCTTTACTTATGCTATTGTCATAATGAGGCGAATTAATTATTTATTTATTTGACCCCTCAACTATGTCACAAACAAGTGAATTTTTATATTTAGTTATTTAGAGCTTCGAACATGTCAGAAAGAAGCGAATTTATATGTTTAGAAATGGAATCTAACCACTTCAATCTAATATTGAATACTGATTATATAATTTAGAATGACCAGTCACCAATTTAACTACAGTTAATAGCAGGAAGAAATCACTGGGTGAGTGAAGACGGTAAGACGTCTCACCACCTTGCATTATCATAATTTTGAATTGGACTCTAGACTTCTGACTCGACTTATTGATTCCGCTACTTAAACGGTTGCTAATTGACCAACTAACACAGTGGGAAAGTAGGTGTTAACTTGCAGTTTTAAATAAATAATTTAGATGTACCACGACCAAGTCAATAAAAGATAGGCGAGATGGGAAGGTAGGACAATTTCTCAGGCGCGAAGAACTAGTCAGAAACATATTAGAGGGAAGAAATAGGAGTTAACATGAGTAGAGGTAGACCTAGATTAGATTACTATTCGCAAATAGTTAAATATGTGGGATGTTCTAGTTTCAGGGAAATGCGAAGATTTGCTCAGGATAGGAAAGAGTGGAGGTGCATGTCCAACACGTCTCAGGATTGACGACCTTATGATGATCTTTATAGAAATCCTCAATTGAACACCTTTATGAATTTGACATAATGGATTTAACTATATGCAAACATTTATAAATACATATGTATAATCACAGAAAATCACTTACCCTTAAATCTCATAATAACCATATGGTAGTGCATCTTGGAAATGAACTCTGAAATAAAAAAAAAAAAAAAACATGTTTCAGAAACTTTTTAACTACAACAATTGAAACTATTTGATATTGTATACACCAAATACGACGTTTCTGATAGGAAAATGGATTCTAGTCTCTATAAAAGTAGCTGAAATCCTTTAAACCACTGAATTCGATCTTAACAAGGACCAAGCAGCATGGTTTAAAGGCTTACGCCACTGCTTAGCAATCGGGAGAACACCGGTTCAATTCTGGGTGCGTCTGCCATGGTCTAAGCCCTTTCGTGGTTTCCTTAATTCACTTGGGCATATGTTGGGACATCTTTCTCGCCCTAACTACCATCCACTGATTCTCATTATTTCTAAAAGGAAGCTGAAGAAGTCGTTCCGCCCTACCCTCCGGCGTAGTCCTGAGGGACTGGTCCGTCCACCAACATTAGTAATAGTTTTAACCTAACAAGAAACTCTAACTGTTTCTTGAATTATTTAAGTATCATCCACCTGCCTGTTACGTCTCAAGGAAAATCGAATTTAATTCCTTTCTTTATTTTATTTTAAGGGTAGAAAAGTTAATGTCGCACATACTCATCTTAACTATGCAGGTTTTTTCACATAACCTGTTCATTAAAAGTTTAAAAACTTAATGTACCATTAGAGATTAGAAAATGGGGCAAATAACCCAAAAGCTGAAGGTCTTTCTAATTAAAATATTTGCAATCGTGGGTCACTTCCGGTTATACCGTAGTCATAGCAATATTGAGTTTCAGGTATATCCCATCCTTTCTCTATCTGACATTGTGCCCTTAGTTTCGTAAATGAATACAGGGCGTTGAAAATATAGTGTCCAACTTATAAAACTTCGATCACGCTTGAATTGTTTTTTGACGTAACAACGTCTTATAATTCGATGGAGCCGGCTGCACGCACGATAAAACATGACTCATACGGCGTTACCTCGCTCTGAGGCGTTCCATTTAAGGCTTGAAGTGCAAGCGAGAGCGCGGAACGAGCGACAAAGAGGCATAATCGGCCTCCGCGTTCGGCAGCGTTCGGCATCTGTCTCTCTCCTACTTGAGTGAGCGATGCGTCCGCGTGGACAGCTGCTATACAATAATACATTTCCATTTACCTCCTTCTACATATCCATACAAAATAAAATTAAAATTTTCTTTTGAAAAATGAAACCATTCCATCAGTATTTTCTTATGACGTTGTCACGTTCAGTAAACCGACTTTACAGACAACCGATTTTTTTTTTCAAATGGAAGTGAAGGCAGATTTGAATTCTGCGTCAAATGATATTAGGATTCCCTATAGCTATTTGTAATAGTTTTTTAGATATAAGAAATTTTTGAAAAAGCCTACATAACCGGAAGTGACCAACGATTCCAAACGTTTTAATTAGAAAGAGCGTCAATTTTTAGGTTATTTGCGGTATTTTCAAATCTAGTAGAATTTTAAGTTTATAAACTTTTAATGAACAGCTTACATGAAAAATCCTGAGCGCATAAGGGCGTTTTAATAATTTCTAAATTAACCGTTCGCACACAGAAGTGATTTCGTTTTGTCAAAAGCGACTCGATGTGATTCATTAAGTTAGTAAATTTACTTTTATTTCATTATTTTTACGACAGACGCTCCGTGTAGAATGCACCCGTTTTATGGATTTTAAGAAATATTGACGCAATCGTTGCATTTAATAATGGCCACTGATCACCGCGATCTGTGGGAGATAAATTCCTTAATTCCTTCTCGTACATTACTCTCCCAGCACGTCCCCCAATCAGGCTACAATATAATTCTTTAACCGAATGAATCGGTTCGAACGGTTCCAATGTCCAGAATAATCAGCATCGGATCTGGACTTTTTATCGCCCGGCCGAAACGTTTTAAACGCCGTTACCTTTTGCATTTTACAGTCATATTATTATATTCACTAAATAAAAAAATAAATAAACTTAATAACTTATCGTGGCTTCAACATGAATTTTATATTATTTTAAAAAAATGTGTGAAATGTTACATCCAATTTAACAAAAATTCAAGAATGTAAGAGGAAGAAAATTCAATTTTCATCTCCATCCTTCCCATGTCCTCCTACTCCTTACACTCCTTTAGTGTTATACAAACTTAAAAAGTAAATCGCTACCACCTCAGGCTCTCCACCACTCTGGCTGACAGTCAGTTCACATACATGATCATATAATCAATTATCATATAGATTTTTCACCTCCACGTCTGACCCCAATATCATACTTCACAACCCCAACACCCTGCGGAGGACATTTTATCTCCACCTTATCTGTCCTCTTCCCTGATCGTCAACTAATTCAAACGGAGGTGTATTTTACTAATCCTCTGTTATCAACAACCGCAGTACAAACGCCTTAAAAATCTGGGATGATATTTCACCTCCATCCCTTCCGCCTCCACGTTTAACTGTCAACTAATTTGAATATGTACTTTTCAGTTGTTTTCACATTACAAAATTCGGAAATAACAAATCCGGAAGCTAGCCTTCAAATTCCGTCAAGTTTACTGCCTACTTTTTACAAACTTCGGATTTAAAAAGTGATTCACGTTATATAATTGGTGAGGTGATTCTGGGTGATTTAAGCAATATCATATCAATGACTTACACGTGCAAAGCCGATTTAAGAGAACGTTGCAAACACATTATTGCAACTTTGTTGTATTGCAGCAGGTAGGTTCTTAACCTCAAACTACTTATATCGTATCATTAGAATTGTGTTAAATCAATTACACAGGAATAAATAATTTCTTACTTTATAATTTTAGTATGATTCTAGTTTTAAATATTAAGGTTATGGCTGATGGTAAATACTTGCTGAAATATAATCATGTGCATTAAAATGACGTGAACAAATTTTTATTCCGGAATTCACTTCTTTGATACCTACTGCTTTTATCTAAGCTTCTATTAGTTTACTTTTTTCTCTAATTTTCCGAATACATTTTTTACATGTATAAAACGGTTAGTTTTTATTGGAAAGTAGTTAATGTAGGTGAAGAGCGAAGATCTATGTCTGAAGTGCTATTGCAGCTTTTCACTAAACATATTAACTTTTTATTTGATTTAACTTTAGAAGAAAACTTCGTCGACTCCATCATCAAAAAAATTTTTACTTTTTTAACGTGTTTTATTATTTTAATAAACAATTTTACAATTTGCGTGCACAGTTCCTATGTAATTTTTTCCCTCATTCGAGTTATAAATTTTTCCACCAGATGGTGTATGCCCATTTGACGGATCCCAATGGGCTTGACAACATAAAGTAACCAAGTATAAATGACAAGCTTTTAACCGCGGCTTCGCTCGCGTTGATGTTCTAATGTTCTAAATATGAGTCCAAGATCATTGAAAATACAATGATTTGTTAAATAGTCCTGACCAGGACCATCAGGATAAATCTATAGTTTCTAATACACTTTGAGTAGAATCTGTCCTCCTTTATCTGTAACCCTGACAATATGTACACAAAATTCGCATTTATAATATTAGTTAGGATATTAATATAACAAGAATAATGATTTTAGCTATGATATAAGAGTTTGTGGTACATTTCACGGGAAACCATTTGTTTCAAAGCGCGAGTTTTTGTTTAAAAATTCCTCTTTAATGCTCTGTAGCAAACGTCCCGCTTGATCCGACACTGTCCGGGACCAATTTTGTTTCCGAATTTTAATGGGACAATTAACTCAATCTTGATCGGTGATGCGATGGCTTAATCACATTTTTCGAAAGGTACGACGAGACTCTCCTTTAAAAGAACAGCTTCTTAACGATTTTATTATCGTTATTAATTCGGATTTTAAATGTCACACGGGACCGTTTAAAACTGCTGTAGTATATGGCCAAGGACCAATAAACTAATAATATATTTAACGAGTTTCGTTTTCCATTTCAGTCAATTGAGTGGCTTGTAAATGAGTCAAATTATATTATATGTCTATCTCTTTGTATACCAGGGTGGACTAATTAAATCTTTTCTTTTATCCACTTCTTATTTTAATTCTCATATAAATGAATCAACTTTCTCAATATATTATTTACTGTATTTAGGCATTATTAATATGGAAAATCAGATTATTTGTTCCCATCCTGCCATGTTACTTGCTTGTTTTAATAATTTGGAGGTTTAGTTTACATTTAACTATTGAAATACTTCACCAAAATACAAGTGTCGTCTACGATAGACAAATTGCAAGGTTTCTCTCGTAGGGATTTGAACAAACTGAAGAACGGATTAACAAAATTGGTCTTGGTGTTGGGAAAATGCAAGATTAAGACCAAGTCTATCTTTATAACAAGACCAAGTCTAGAACCAAGACCGAACGAATAAGACCAAGACTAACACCAAGATTGAACGTAAGACTAAACGAAAAATTATTAATTTATGAATTAAACTATTTGAACTAATTTTAATATATTCATTTCTTGGAACAAAACAATTTTAGTGTTTATATTTACTACATTTTATAAAAAAAAAAAACAACGTGTAATTATACGATACAACACTGAACTACTGAAGTGAAACTTATTTATACACACAATACCGGAATAGGGGTTAAGGAATTAGTTTAATGGTATTATTCGCACACTATGCTTCGCACGGGTGCAATGCTGATAGTAAATACACTATAGAATGTCTTTATATACAACATTCACAGTTTTTTTGTCATAAGACAATACAAACCGGCAGGTACCGCTGCAACCGCTATGACCCTGCATTTTAAGTCTGTAATATCTTCGAAAATATTGTTTGAAATTACATGCTGTAAAGGGCCATATTGATCTATATTAAATGCACAATGTATTTAAAATTACTTTATTGGATAACGATTAATGCTGTATTGCTTAAAATCGCTTCGTAAATAAACCATTATTTCTCGTAAAAAGTGAAGGATAAAAAATAGTTATTGTGAGTTATCCCTAAGAGATAGACATATACCATCGCGGACTTTTTGTAGGCCTTTTTAAAGTGTACAATACTGTAG